ATTTTTATACATTATTGAATTTAAGATTTAAGCTTTAACTTCACGTACTCTGAGGCACCATTGCTTGGAAATGAAGTTGTAGCGTCGGGCTGTTTGTTTATTGCTCTTAAGAAAACAACTACCAAACGAAAATTAATTCAAAATAGAACCAGTAACAATTAATTATTTGATTTACTGTAAGAGTTTGGCATTGCCAACTTAATTGCCAACAGGGGTGGAAAGAAAATTGAATCGGCTCAGGGGCGGATCTAGGCCTAGAGTAGCTAGGGCTCAAGTCCTATGCCTAGGTTTATAGACTCCATGTAAATTTCATTAAAAAAAATCTAAAATTTGTGTAAATTTATAGAAAATTTGGACAAGCCAATGAAAATAAACCCTAACATTGTTTATGGTTTCTGGCTGGCTCAGCTAATTTGGCTTAAAATTATATTATAGATTTACACTTTTAGAAGGTTTACAATGAAATAGATGTCCTGCAGTTAGAATAGCTTTTGTTCCCTGCTCTTGGATACTATTTGTATAGTTATATATATAATGTTGGTCCCTCTTGAGTTTATGTTAAGGGTCAGTCACTGTCAGTTGGTAGTTGGAACTAGTGGTTCCTGTTTGATCAGTTCTCTCTTTCTTGTCTTCTGTGAGCTTGTGACGTCCTAGCTGCTTCTCCGGCGTGCAGATGAAGGTACTTGCTACGCTTTCCTTCCAACTATGGATCTCTCCTTTGCCCTTAGTTCCAAATTTTTTGGACAAACTTTCGACTTTTCTATCACATCAAAACTTTCCTACACACAAACTTTCAACTTTTCCGTTACATCATTCCAATTTCAACCAAACTTTCAATTTTGACGTGAATTAAACACAAGGCCATGTTTACTTTAAGAGGTGAAAAGTTTTAACGTGTCACATCGAATATACGGGCACACATTTGAAGTATTAAACATAGTCTAATAACAAAACAAATTACAGATTTCGCCTATAAACTGCGAGCTCCGCTATACATACGACAATATTGTTACGATGTTTGTACGATGGAATGATTGTATCCTAATTAACTTCTACCGTTTGGATATGTAGTTTGGATCCCACACTAACGGGTGCCACCGCAGCTACCTACTGTAGTACTGTACCATCCGATTTGGTTCGATGCGCACCCGTTAGACCATATCCAAAGCCCAAGCTAACCCCTATACATATGTAGTTTGGATCCCACACACTAAAATCTCTCTTCCACCGTTGAAATATCCAAAGCCCAAGCTAATCTTGTTTTGGCTTGCTATCTTATAAGCCTCCTCACACAGCTACACGGAGTAATTTTATTTCTAATCGTCATAATCGATTTTATTTTATGTAGTGCTATCTCCGTTTTCCGTTCCATATTATAAGTCGTTTGGATTCTTTTTAATCAAACTTGTTTTGGTTTGATCAAGTTTATAGAAAAATATAGCAATATTTAAGCACAAGATAAATATTTAATCAAAATATATTAAATATTGGTTTTAATATAATAGAATTAACTTGATGTTATTTACAAAAATTGGATTATTCATTCAACTGATTACATTTTAAGAAAAACAATTTTCAGATGATAAATTTAGTTAGATTGAATAGCACCTGTTACTGGTAGATCAGTACGGTCATATAATAGTCTCAAATACTAATACTCCCATGACGATGGGTCTGGGCTTCAGGGCGCATGAGCGTGCGCACCCGTTAGATGCCCGGAGGCCCGTGCCGTCCACCCCGTCCGCTCCGTCCGCTGTTTACTGTTTGATCGTACCAGTATCTTAAGTAAAAATCGTATACACAGCATTTTCCTATAAACTGCGAGTCGAATTTATTAAGACTAATTAATCTATTATTAGCAAATATTTACTGTATCATCACATTGTTAAATCATGGAATTAGGCTTAAAAGATTCGTCTCGCAATTTACACGCAATATATGTAATTAGTGTTTTATCTATATTTAGTACTCCTTTCATGTGTCCAATCATTCGATGTAACAAGATGAAAAGTTTTTGTGTGGGAACTAATAAACATGGCCTAATTTCCCCCGAGCTAGCCAGCAAGCCCTATTTATTGCCGAGAGCACGTACAATAATTAAGCTACATACGGATGTTGTCCCTTATATTTATTGTCACACTGTAATCTACATCTCTTTTGCGAAAGGAAATTATGTCATTTTTATCATCTCTACTCAAAACATTATAAATGTATCTCCAGGTCCAAAATCCAACATAGCATGCTCAGGGAGATATTGACAAGTGTCCCACCCACTTTTTTCTATTTCTTTTTATCTCTCTTTTTCCTTCTTGTTTTTATTTTTCATTTCCACTCTCACTTCGTCACTCCTCCCTTCTCTCCCCGCCAGCGTGGTCAGGACCGGACCGCGGATCAGCGCATGCAATGGGTAGGACGAGGCGACGAGCAGAGATCTAGCATCACTGGTACAGAACATGCCATAGGTGTCGGTTGGAAAGTGACAATAGGTGCCGGTTTCCCGAACAGTTCCAATTGGTCGGCACAAATACATGAAACCGGCACCTATCATGTCTACCTGAGCCAAAAAAAAAACTTCGGCTCGAATTGAGCTGAATCCCGAGCCAAATCCAGAACCCCTCCACATCCCATAATCCCTCAGATCCAGAACAATATCCCACATCCAAAATCAAAATCACATCAATAACAACGACAATTCCTTCTTGGTACACATCAATATCCCCACATTCAAAAGCAAAATCACGTCAATAACAACAACAATTCGTTCTCGGTACACATGAAGAAGAGAAACGTGAACATGAACACACACATATGAACAAGAGAACATAAACATGAACATGAACATACACATATGAACATCCGTGGTGCGCCGCAGCTGCCACCGCCGGTAGCCACCTCCTCCTCCGCAGCTGCCATCGCCGGCTACCGCCTCCGCCACCCAATGCCTCCCGCCCCCTCACGCTAAATCTGAGCCGGGGAGGGAGTTAGACGAGAGAGAGCGCCGGGGAGGGGAAGGGGGAGGGGAGGACGGAGGAGGGTGAGGTGGAGGAGGAGGGGGCCGCCGCCGCCGCCGTGGTGCACCGCATCTGCCACCGCCGGCAGCCGCCTCCGCCTCCGCCTCTGCAGCTGCCACCGCCGGCTACCGCCTCCGCTACCCACTGCCTCCCGCCCCCTCACGCCAGATCTGAGCCGGGGAGGGAGAGAGACGAGAGAGTGCCGGGAGGGAGATCGAGACGAGAGAGAGACGGGGATGGGAGAGAGAAACGGGGATGGGAGGCTTATTCGAGAAGGGGGTACAAGACTACAAGTAGTGGGAGGTGGGAAAAGCTCTTTAGGTGCCGGTTTTAAATGAACCGGCACCTATGAGCCGGTCCCTATAAGGGTTTTTTAGTAGTGCATGTGCCAAGGCCAAATGCTCTTATGCCAAGGTGTGTTAGGCGAGGCATATTTACCACGAGCCAGTAAAGGAGAACTGGTTGGCTATCACGCCTGGCCTCTTCGGTGTTGGAAACTGGTTGTTGTCCTCAGACTTGGGGTGGTGCCAATGGCTGGTGGTGGCGAGGAGAGGAGTTGTGATGGGTCGGAGGGAGGCGCTATCGCTGCTGATCGACTGGAATCGCTGCCAGAACCACCACCACCGATCCACCAGAGAGAAGGAAAGGGAGAGAGAGAGTGGAAGAGGAAAAATAAAGAAAAAGAGTAAAAATAAGAAATAGAAAAAAAATGAGAAGGCCCCACATATCAGCATTCTGTAGGACTGTCGTATAGCTGCTCATGTCAGATTGTTATGCTATGTAAAGTGTTCCGATGGCATTGCCATATCGGATTTTGGATCAGGATGGTAGCGGCGAATGCCATCCCAAGCGTCATGACCGTGCCCGAGTGACGCGCTCCCGTCCGAACGAATCACGCACGACGAGCTCAACTTTACACGACCAATTCAGTCATGCGCATGACTCTAAGGGCAATTGCAGTGCCCCGTGTGATTTTGGCGAACTTGGGATACCAGCTAGATGAAGAACCCCATTTGCCACGTACTCCACAATGCATGTTACCGATAGTGGGTCCCACTAGTATTTTTTTTTCACTTTTTATCTCCCTTTCTCTCTCCTTTCCTCCTTTCTCCATCGCATAGACACGGCACTGGGGCAGCGTCAGCGAGGCGGCACTAGGGCGATGACGGCAGCTGGCCGGCCAGATCCACCCTTCCTCTCCATCCCCGAAGCAGCGGCAGCATCGGCAGCGCGCTGCGGCTGCGGAGCAGGGGGCGGCGGCGCCGGAGAGGACCGGCCAGATCCACCCCTCCTCGGTCGAGGCCGCCCCTCTCCTCTTGCCGCGTTGGCTTCTCCCATCTTCGGCAAGCGGGCTCCACCTCTACCTCCGCACCCAATCGCCGGCTAACGCCACTCTCCCTACCTCCACCGTCGGTGTCGTTCTCCTCTTCCACCTTCTCCGCTCATGGCGGCGGCGACTCCAACAAGGCAGTGCGCGCTGGAGAAGCCGAGGTGAAGGGAGCTGGCATCACAGAACGGCGCGATTCCTGTCGTCCTTGCCGCGGCGGATCAAGCGGCGAGCTTGGTTGCAACGCGGAGCGGCGACGATTCCGATGTGGTGCTCCCAGGTCGCCGGTAGGCTCCTCTTCTTCTCCACCACTCTCGTTCTCCCTTCTTGCTGTCGCCGCCGCTCTCCGTTCTCTCTTCCACCGCCTTCATGCTGCCGCGCCGCGCCGTCACACAATTTGGGGATAGAGGGAGAGAAATCTCATCGGGAGGAACGGTGTGGCGAAGCCATGCCTCCGCAATGCGCCGCGACCTCGTTTCCCCATGCCACCTAGTCCCGATTGTGCCGAAGAACGGGTGACCAACTTTGGTCACACGCGTTTGAGTTTTGTGGGCCCATGCTATAACGTGACGGTGAATTTGGGCTACTCGCCAACGTGGACCGCTCAGGGCGAATGCCAGCGTGTTGCATTGTGAATGGCCTAAAAGAACATGTGAAAAGAAAGAAGATGGGGGAGAATCCAAGACAATAGATTTGCAACACAACTGAAACAAACTGAAAAATGAAAACAACCAAATTTGTTCCTAACCGGGAACAAGGAGGAGCTTTGGTGGTGCCAATTGGAAATTGGCCTTTTTCAATCCCAAACTACGCATAGCCGCACACACGAGAGTGCTTTTATTTATCACACTCCCTCCTTTCACTTGTACACTTATACGTGACATTGAAGGAGGAATTATGTAGCAGTAGATATTTATTCTCAGACGAACACGAGAGAGAATGCTTAAGTTGCAGCCTTGAGCTTGGCGACGAAATCCAGGATGCCCGTGTGGCTCGTGCCGCCGACGGCCACCGCCTTGGCCACCTCCTCGCCGACCTTGGCCGCCTTCTCCCGCACGCCGGCGTCGGCCATCATCTCCTTCACCTTCCCCCCTATCTCCTCCCCGCTCACCACCCACTCCTCCCCGTCCCAGCTCCACTGCTCCATCCACACCCCGACGCCGCTGCTCGCCACCACCGTCGCCGCCACGCGGTGGTCGCCGCCCCGCGGCCACGCCAGCAGCGGCACGCCGGCCGTCGCCGCCTCGATCACCGAGTTCCACCCGCTGTGGCTCAGGAACAGGCCCACCGCCGGGTCCCTGAGCACCGCGTCCTGGTCCACCCACGCCTTGGTCACCACGCCGCGCCCCCGCACGCGCTCCAGGAACCCGTCGCCGAGCACGTCGCGGATGCCGGCGTCGTCGTCGCGGTCCACCACCGTGGTCTTGAGGATCCACAGGAAGCGGGAGCCGCTCGCCTCCAGCCCCGCCGCGATCTCCCGGATCTGCTCGTGGCTCACGGCGCACCGGCTGCCGAAGGCGACGTACACCACCGACCGCGCCGGCTGCTGGCGGAGCCATGCCATCGGCGACCCCTCTGCGTCGGCGGCGGCGCCCTTCGTCGCCTCGCTCGCCAGGGAGCTGTGCGGGCCGACGGCGAACACCGGCGGGAACCCGCGGACGACCTTGCCGTCGCGGAGGGCGGCGAGCGCCACCGGCTCCAGCGCGTCGAACGTGTTGATCAGAACGCCGTCGGTCTTGACCATCTCCCGGCCGTTCTCGATGAACTGCTTCGTGAAGAGCTTGTTCAGGTCGAGCAATGGCTGCGGCAGCCAGGACCTCTTGAGGCGACGCACACCGGGGATGTCGACGTCGCCGACGTCGGCCCCGGCATCCTTGTTGTCGAGGTAGATAGGGAAGTAGGAGCAGAGGGACATCATGGCCGCGGAGGAGACGTACAGCACGTGGCACTGGACGCCCAGGTCCTTGGCGATGGGGTTGACGTGGGACACCAGCGTGACGTCGGTGACGGTGGCCGTGACGCGCGGGGTGACGCCGGCGATGACCGGGCCGAGGAGGTGCAAGGAGCGGCGCAGGGCCTCCCACCGGAGCAGGAACGGGTCGCCGCCGGGGAACTCGGACGCGTCGAACGGCAGCAGGTCGAAGTCGAGGCGGCGGACGCTGGGATAGTCCCTGAAGAGGGCGGCGAAGTGGTCGGCCTCGGCGGCGGACACGGTCGGGAAGACGGTGACGACGGAGATGTCGACGTCGTGGGCGGACAGCGCGCCGATGAAGCGGAAGAACTGGAGGAGGTGGCCCATGCCGGCGCTCGGGACGAACACGACGTGCGGCCGTGTGTGCCCTCGCGCGCCGAGCTCACCGGAGCTGAGCACCGCAGGCGGTGGTGCCATGGCCGAGCAGCTGCTTTATGATGCTGTTGTGAAACCGGCTAATGCTGGGTGAATGCTCGACTGATAAGAGCGTTGGCATATGTGTCTTTTTATAGCAGCTGTACGCCTGTAGTACCATTTGTCTGAAATGTCGGTTTCAATAAAACAAAAAGCATTTGTCTGAAATGGAAAATAAAAAATTTCTTACGTGTCAAAAGTTTCGGAGAGCGCTACGGCTCGGACGTCCGATATCTCACCAAATATCGGACGTCCAGCCAAGCAGCGAGCGTATGTGTATGTGTATATTGCTGTACTTCATTCTTCACTCCTCAATCATGAGGAAGCTTCCCATCTAACGTCCTATGTCCCAAAGAAAATTGGTTGGTCAAATGTTCTAGTTGACCAATGAGTGAAACATCAAATTATATATGGTGAAACAAAAAATCAGCAACTGAAACATTTAAAAATTTTATGAAACATGATAAAGATACACGTTGAAACATATCGCTATCACATATGAAACAACTAGTGTTAACGGATTAAAACATATGTTTTTCTTTCATCAAAATATAATCATGTGATATCTTGTTGTAAAGATTTAATTACAACGAATACACCGATGTGTTCGGATCATAGATTGGATAATTAGTTTATGAGAAAAGTTGTTTTGAAGCCCGCTAAAATGCATGCATGCATGAGGTGGAGAGAGGAGAGAGAGTAGTGAGATGTAGTTCCACGAAATTTGTGAAACATGCTGAAGAGACATATTGAAACATATTACTATCGCGTATGAAACAAAGAGTGTTAATGGATTGAAACATATGATTATTTTTAATTAGAATATAATCATGTGACATCTTGTTGTAAAGATTTAATTACAACGAATACAACGGTGTGATCGGATTGTAGATTGGATAAGTAATTTAAGAGAAAAATTGTTTTGAATATCGTTAAAGGTATATGTGTATAGGCTTGATAGGATGTGTGTCAGAGTCAGTCCATCCGATTTTTCTCCTTCAGTCGGACGTGCGAGGAGAAGCATTTTCGAAAAGTTTCCGGTCAGTCCATGTCTCTGAATTTTACCTTGTCCTTTACATACAGTTTAAAAAATATTTGTAATAAAGCATAGGGATAGAATATTTTCCCGTCAGCCCATTTTATGTCTCTAAATTTTACCTCATCGCTTACATGTCGTAAAAAATATATTTGTAATAAAGCATGGGGATAGAATACTTTCACCATAAATTAAATGAAAATTTAATTTTTAGAACAAAAACTAAATGAAATTTGTACATCATTTTCAACAAAATTTAAACCAAAATAAAAAATATTTTTTGGTTTTCACTTTCTATGTGAAAATATTTTATGGATTTAATCTTTTAATTTTTTTTGAAAAAAGTAGCTCGAAAATTTAAAAGTATTTTTCAAATTTGGTACCAAATAATTGTCCCAATTCATTTAAATCTTTGGTTTTTCATGAATTATGTTTCTCACATTTAGATTTATGTTTCTTAAGTAAGCTAAGTACGTGAGCACGAGATATGGGGCGATACAGCCTTTTGAAAAAAAAAAATTAAAATTGTCAACACACAGTGAACTAACAAAGTTAAGTTCTATATAGAGGGGATCAAAATATAAAATATAAATGCAAGGGCATGTAGGGAATGTGGAAAAATTCAGGATACATAAGGACTGAGAAAAATTTATAGACACGTAAACAATTTTTCTCTTAAATTGAAATGGTTTTATAAATGTTTTTAAAAATTTTAGTATAGTGACATCTATTAAAGAAAATCCGACTCAAATTTGATGTACACATCGAGGGAAAAAAACAAATTTGGGTGCAAATAGTGTGAATATTGTTCATACATAATACTCTCCTTTATCTCAAAATATGATAATCTATTATTGGATTAGACACACAATCTAGTACTACGATTCGGGTGTAAATAGACACAGGATTGTTCATACACTGTGAGTAATTGCTTTTTTTATTTCTCGATGTTTGAGTTGATTTAGACACAGGATTTTATGAAAGGGTATATATTCAGCCTTTCTACACTAGGTTTGGTTATTGCGTTTCGACCCTCTACTTCGAAACACAATAACCATGCCTACCGTAGAAAGACTGAATGGTAGGAATAAAAAACCAAGTATTTTGTGGAATAAAAATAAACCCTCAAACTTGACAAAGTCGCACTGGTCAAATCATCAGGAAGCCGTCGGTTACACCGCTGCTTAGCCATCAGTCAGCTTGCATGTCTGCCACCGGTCAGACCACCCTCCTATCGCGTCGACTCTAGTCTGCTGCACGCCATCGATTGCCCAACTTCCCAGTCAGACCGCACTACCAACACCTCACTATCAGACTGCCAAAACCTAGAAAAATACAAATCAAAAACTCTTAAAAGTAAATAAATTTATTTCTTATAATTGTGTTTATAAAGTACAACAACAACACTCCTCTCAATTTTTGACTAAATTCAAATTCTAAGCTAAACCATAATTTTTCTTAAAATTATTCTCTTATAAAATCAATACCAAGAGGCCTCAGCCCCTCTTCTATTTATATCATAAGATAGTATCCTAAAAACCACGAATTCTACTCAAATAAATACTCCTAATCCCATAGAAAACCTACGCATACAAGTATAAAGCTTATCTTTTTACAATTCAAACTTCAATCTTTTCAAATTTAGACCCTATCCAAATTTAACTCCACTTTTCATACGCACACAATCCCTCTGCATATCGAATCTTCACCACCACATGCGTTACTTTTTAGCCTAAGTATCCCGTATGATCTCCTAATCGTTTGATCATCAACTTCTCCCAAGTTGACTCCCGATCCATCACCGGCAACACTCTCCCGAGGCATTAAGACACAACTGCACATGAATAAACAAGAAACATATCTGAGCACAAGTCCTTTCCCAACTTAACTCAACATTAGCATATAACAGTATAGCATAAATTAGAATTCATAAACATGAAATAATCACGAGTGTTCAAAGAAACAACCCGAAACTAACTCCAATCAGGAGCCAGTCGATCAGATCGATGGGCTAGCCGGTCTTACCGCAAGCATCATACTAAAACCCTATTTTTCGTACAATCATTGTTCATTGTATTTTCCCCGGTCTGACCAGCATGCATAGACCGGTCAGACCGATCCTAACTACAAACCACCACTCCACAAATAAAACACCAAATATCAAAACCAATATAAATCAAACATCTCATGCTAATTGGTCATCACAAAATAATAGTGAAACCATTGATTTTTATATTCTCTATCTTGATGAACACATTGGCAAACCCATTAAAATGTTTAATTTGGTGTGAAACAAAAACCAAGAAATGCAAAAAAGCATCAGAGTGCTCACCTCTTTCCATTGCAAGAAAAACATGCACATTTTGTATCTCTTCTCCCTTTTTAACAATGATCTCATCAAGCTTTTCATGTCCTTTGTTTTATATTTCTCGAGAGCTTTGAATTTTACCTGGAGCAATTTGAGGACATGTGTTGTAAAACAAAGGCGATAAATCCATCAACTAGTAAACAAGCAATGCATTATAGTATAAACATGAATCAAAGATATTGCAATGAAGCTCAAATCAGCAATCAAGTTGCACGATTTCAAATGATCTATAGTGCAACATATTCACTAGAAAATAGATTGAGCTTTAGAGTTAGTGATTATAACTTTATAAAAAGTATGGATGCTCTGCACAGAGGTTGCACCACAGCTGCAGTTAGGCCTGGTAATGGGTAGTGGCCCACCCCGAACCCCACCCCTGCCCATTTCTATTTATATATTGCACCCAAACCCCACCCTAACCCACTAACATGCATATTTAGCACAGACCAACCCCAACCTGTAACCTTCTTAGTGCTTGTTGAACCCTTGGACAACCCATAAACAATGAAGGGACTAACCCATTGGGCTCAGCACGACAGCACGTCAACCGTACAACAACTGTAGAGCCTTCGCACATACATGAAAATGAAGCTTTGTATACATGCATAGCACAGCTATAGGGAGTAAGACAAATAATTTTCAGATAAGTTAAATAGAGATTACCACAAACTAAGCCAGGTTTAAGTATATGACTGAACTTTCTTAAGACATACACAATAGTTTAGCAAAATTAGGCCACAAATAGGCACGCATTGAAACTAATAAACATCTATGAATCATATCAGAATTTTTTCATTCAAAAGTACTAGCAAGATCTATTGATGCTTAATCTCAGCCTTCCTCTTATGCCACAGCTTGTCCAGTGCAATGTTTCCATCTCCCTGTAGAAACAAAATGAGGTTAGAAGTTAGAACCTATTGAAGGAGGCATCAGTACAATAATCCATGTTCCTATACTTAAGCAATGGAAATTCAGAATTGCTTTACTCCTACCAGTTGCTTAATCATTCACCAATTCATAGTCTATCAAGTTACAAACAGAATTAGAAGTTGCAAAATCAAGTTGAACACAGGGGTTAAAAACATTTATCACCAGTTTAGGTCTATGTTGAGGACAGAACAATCCGGTGCAACAATAAATATATAGTGCAGATCAAGCTACATCTGAATAGATATGTAACTCTAAGTATATTACTTAGAAACAAATTGAAAATTTATACTAGTTGACATCAAGTAAGTTTTATTACAGTATAAATTAAATTACCTATATAGCACAAGAATTCACTTAGGCCAAAAGGACATGCAGTAACTTGTAGCCACACAACCTCTAACAAATAGCATGCATTTAGCATCAGCCTAAGTATATTCAGCACAATGCGCCATCTACCTAAGTGGCATGAAAAAAATGTATATTCAGCACTCAAAGGCAGAATATCAGATCCTTGTATCCTCAAATTCAGATCAACACATGGCCACCAACTTTCAGTTAATCTCAAACAGAAGAGCAGCTAGTTCGACCAACACAGTTTCAGATTATATATGTGTGTTTATTTAAAATCCAAGATATATACAACTTAATGTATTACAAGTTGCAGAAGTACAAATCATTATATGCCCAGAATTTTCTCTATTACAGATTCCTAAAATTCAATATGAGTTACAGTTAACTTCTCGGAATAATCATCACAAAGAACTAATAATCTAAAACATGATATTCGTTAGAAAAATCATTTCAGTGTCAGTAGTACAACTGAAAGTGGCAAAGAAGGCTTTTGACACAAAGAGGGACTAGCAAGAATAACAATGCCTTGAAACAATATTCGTTCCTCTGCATATACTTCTTATTTAAGAGAATCCTATGATCTCTCTATACAAGCTTATACATTATATTCAATGTCTAATCTAATCCTAATAGCTTTTTACAAGTTTGTACTGTGAATCGGCAAACAAATAAGCAATCCCTAGCTGGATCAACAATTTCAACATGTGATAAAGATTTGCTTCATTCAGATGTTAGCAGAGCAATCTAATCTGCTGCACCGAAACCAAGAACAAAAATAGCAATGCCTGTAGCAAAGAAAACAAACCTTGGTTGCAGAAACCGACTTGCAGAGAAAGGGTTGCACGGTGCTGTGGATCTCGAACAGGAGGCGGAGGCGACGGAGGACGGCGGCGCGGTGCCGGATCTTGACCGGGAGGCGGAGGACCGACAGCTGGTGGAGGCGTACGACGCGCCGGCGGACGGGGTGGCGCGATCTGGATGGGAAGGACGGAGCGTCGGCGCTCGCGGACAGGGATCGGGACAGCAACGGAGGATCGCGACGGGGAGGGAGAGGAGGAGGCGGAAGCGGAGGGGGAGAGGGCGGCGCAAGGCGGCGGCGGGCGGTGGCCGCCGATCCAGTCGCCGAGCTCCTACCGCCGTGGGTTCTCCCATAAAGAAGACCCTTTTTTACTGCCCATGGGCTGAACCCCATTCTGAGCTACAGTGTCCAGCCCATCGTAACCCTCATTTTATATGGCCCAACCCAACCCTGCCCTTATCCCTCCTATAACCCATACAAGACACACCATTTTCAACCCATTACTGTTTCAACCCGTACAACCCATGGGTTGGCCAGCCCATTACCAGGCTTAGCTGCAGTAGAGTAGCCAAACATGTTTGTCCTATAAAAAAATATTCTATCTATAATAATCTACCAAAATAAATGGTCTTCATTTGCAGTAACATAATTACTTTTTATCGAGGATGGAATCGTCTATTCCCTTCATATTGTAGGATTTCTTTCAAGTTCTATTCTAATAAGTCAAAACATTTTTAACTTTGACCAAATCTATAGCATCCAGATATTTACAGTAACAAACATATTCATTGTCGGTACATAATTTATGGAGGATTTAACGAAACCAAGTCAATGTTGTTATAAGTTACTCCCTCCGTTTCAGGTTATAAGACTTTTTAACATTGCATACATTCATATAGATGTTAATGTGTGTGTCTAGATTCATTAACATATATATGAATGTGGGTAATGCTAGAAACTCTTATAATATGAAACGGAGGAAGTAGATAGTTTTGATTTTTGATGAAACTAAAGTGCGCGATTGCGATTTACTGCAACGGAGGGATAATTTTAACTTATAATAAAATTAAAGTGATTTACAACATAAAATGAATTAAGGGGAGTATTTAAATACCTCGGCGGCACGGGAAACGAGGGTACGTGATGTTGCTAAAGAGGAGGTTGATGATGGGGAAAGATGGGAGGCCAGTTTACTAAACACGAAGCGCCCGACCATTGTTGCCAATCGATCAATCTGTGGTGAACTCGGCTTCGAAATTCTCGAGAAATCGATCGGATTGGATGAAAAGGGTCAGCTTGGCTCTTCTTATATGAAGGAAGGGATCGATCACCTTTTGAACCACACACGAAATTGAAGCTGAATACGGAAACATATTAGGATAAGGATATGTATTTGTGATCCGTTTTCTGAGCAGAAAGTGGGGGGCTGCTAGCTGGCATGAGCGTGCCAGCAGCGAGCACTTCCCTCCCATAACTACTATATATTAGTTAACACTTAACACTAATGATGGGTAATTAGGAAGATTCTCAAGATTTTTCTTTCTTTTTTCGGGAGATTTTTTTACTAACAGATTGAAAATTTTTAAGTCAGATTTGAAAACTTTCGATTTAAGATTTAAATTTTAAAGTCAAATTTTGAAAACTTTCAACTCGGATTTGAAAATTTTCAGCTCGAAATTTGAAAACTTTCAACTCAGATTCAAAAACTTTCAACTCGAGATTCGAAAACTTTCAAGTCCATATTTGAAAAATTTGAAAACTTTTAACTTGAGATTTTAAAATTTTCAACTCGAGATTTGAAAACTTTCAACTTGAGATTTGAAAATTTTCAACTCAAGATTTGAAAACTTTCAACACAAGATTTGAATACTTTCAAGTCTAGATTTGAAATACTTGAAAACTTTCTACTTGAGATTTGAAAATTTTCAACTCGAGATTTGAAAACTTTCAAGTCCAAATTTGAAAATTTTAAAGTTGAGATTTAAAAATTACTAGTAAACTATTCACTAGTAAAAATAGGAAACTAGTCTAAACTAATTACGATTTTTTCTCTAATCCATACGGCAGGAACAGCGAACAGCGAAAAAAAAGAAGAAACGGCGGTGTCAAAAAAAAAAGGAAAAAAGCGGCGGTGTCAAAAAAAAAAGAAAAAAGAGAGAAGAAGCGCGCGTGTGTAGGCCTTGTGGGCCGGAAATACGCAATGGCAACGCGCGTTCGCCAATTAGCATTCGCACATAAAGCGTCCAAATTCCCAAATCTGCATGGCTAAAGAACCTTTTGCTTTCAGATAATCAAAACTAATTACGAGAAAACTACCTTTCATCACTGGGTCCTAATATTCATTCTAACTTTCTAAGGTACTCCCTACTCGGTTCATTTTATTTTTTTTATTTATTGCACTATTTAAATTTCCAACTTATCTTTTTTTCTTATTCAATTATAACTTTTTCTCATTTAATTTCACTAATTTTTAATACACGTATCTAATCTAAAAATTTTTATTATGTCACAGTAGTGGTCTCTATCATGCGAATGGTACCTCCGTACGTACTACAGTACGAACAAAGAAATAGAGAAACTCTGGTCCCCACTCTCAGCTTCATTTTGAATCACAAATTCTACCTACCACCGCCTCGACCACTGTACGTTGGTCAATGTTCGCTGGCAAAATTGTCTGTTGATGTTACACAGGCTCCTACTGTTACGAGAGGAAAAGATCAACAAATCACGGGAACTGCACGGACTCACTCGCATGCAATAATTTGTTAAGGGATCTTTGAATCACAAGAACGAAGAAAATAGGAGAATGGGAAAAACATAGAATTCAGACAAAAAATGCTAGTGTAAAATAGATGATTACAGAACACAGGAAAAACATAGGAATAACTGTTTGATTGGGCCGCAGGAAAAACACAGGAATTTAAGGAGAGATAAAGACTCAAATAATTCTTTCCATAGGGTTCTACCTCATGTTAAATTTCCTCCAAAACTTGTATGGGAAGATGCATTCTATAGGAATTTCATAGGATTCCATAGAATCCATTCCTTTGATTCAAAGGGTTATATAGGAAAAATTCCTATAGAAATGAAATCCTCTAAAATTCCTATGAATTTCCTTTGAAAAAGGGGCCCTAAGTGCAATCTCAGCGAATCGATCAGAGCGAGACCTAATAGAATTTTT